TTGGGGTGGGGAACAATGTGGTATGCTTTATTTTACTCTTGGGGAATGCCTTCCTTGCATGTACCACATCATGTACCACAACTTGAAGCTCACTCTATATTCAGCTCTACTCACTCATCTCAATCACTGCTTTAAGTTAAGTACAAGATCTTATTGTTGCATTACCTCTTTCCATTCTTGAAACCAGTTAACTTGGCATAAAAGGCCGTTCCAACCGGAACCATTTAAAAAATATTAGCTATTTCACTTTTTATACTGTCAGCATTCAGACATCAGCATTTTGCTTCCCCAATGTCAGCTGCTCCATCTAGTGGCAGAAAACCAGTTTGGGCAATGCAGTTAAAACTTTTTAACCATCACTTTACCCCAACATTACCAGCCCTGACATGCCTCACTGGTTTTCAAGAAAAGTTTAAGAACAAATTCTCAGTTGAAAACATTTTCAAACCTTGGTCTGCCCTTCAGGCTGTATACTCAGGGTATCTTGTTCAACATCGTTTCACCTCAGTTTGCTCATAAGTCAATGAGATCAACATACTAGCATCATGGGACACATAAACGCAAGTAAAGCACTCAGCTCAGTATCAGAAATAAGTCACCACTGGGTAAGTAAAGCTACCATCTGCCCACCCCTGACTACCACTAATCTCATCATATACGAAGTCAAGCTAATCCTCCCCTGCTTTCACCACCTTCGTTTCCTCTTGGTCACCTATTGGATAGAATTCAGGAGGGCATCCATAATCGCTAAATCTTTCCCAACTGGATCTTTCCTTAGTCTCAAGAAGAGAACCTACCCTAACAAAGTCAGTCCTTCAGTCTTTAATATGTGTTGCACTTTTGTTATCTATCCTACAGAAAAATCTCACTTCATGGCTTTCTTCTTCCAAATCCTACACATTCTTCCAAGTCATATTTAAGATACTAACTCTGCAAATCTTAGATTAGCTAAAGGTACAATCTTTCCTTTACAATTTCAATGCACACTTGCCTCAGAACTTTTTCTATTATTTTATATACTAAGAAAATCCAGCACACCTTTAATTCTAGCACCCAGAAGGCAGAGGCAGGTGGATCTCTGTTGAGTTTAAGGCCAACCTGGTTTAAAAAGTAAGTTCCAGGACAGTCAGAGCTGTTACTCAGAGAAACCTTGTCTTGAAAAACAAACAAACAAGAAAACAGAAAACTTAGCACTTTTTACAATACTAGTTAAGATTCCTAGCATATAAATAACATGTACTTAGCTAACTATAACATACATTTTATAAACTTAAAATCTCATTGTTATTCATTTTAGTCCCCCCCCCACCATAGCCCTAGAAAGAATTTCTACGTAGGAGGAGACAGAAAATTAAAAACAGTCCCCTCATACACACAAAAAATCACAGAATTCAAGGGCTAAAATACTTTAATAGCCAACACATTAAAGTAAAAACTTCAATGTTTTTATTTTTATTATTCACAATAATAAGCTAGAAAATTCCTTAGATAATACAAAGTTGTTTTCTGCTAACATTTTCAGAAAATAAAAAATTTAATACTAAAACAAAACAAAAAAACCCACTTAAAACATTGAAGAAAAAAATTACCACTTAGCACTTTAATGATACACAAAAAGTTTCTCACTCATCCCTATCCACTTGTCAAACAAATGTCCTAAGCGTATAGGAATATACACTTTAAGTAACACAGGCTGGTGTGTCTGTGACTTTAAGCTACCACCCCCCTGAAGAGTCTTCTGAGAAAGGAAGTGATGATTAACCTGAGGGATGCATTGCAAACTGGAGTGTCCTAGGTCTCATGTGTACAAATACACACACACCTAATAGATGATAACTGCCTGGTTGGTCCTTTAACCATTCCTTTTCCTTTAAGACAGGTCAGGATTTGTTTTTCTCTATGTTGTTCCAAAACCCTGTTTTGAATCTGTAGAAACTGAACACTCATTCCTGTTCATAGACTGTTCTTTGTTAATATGATTTTTAAAACAACTCTAGCCTGCTCCTAAGGAGCCAACTGTTTGTCACCTTTCCAAGGGTGCCCATAAAATGGCATTCACAGGCAGCTAGACAGCATTCCAATCTATTACTCAGATCAGCTTGCCTGGATCCCACAATCCTTGAACCACAATGGTTTCAGCTTTATCCTATTTACTCACTACCAAAACATGAATGCTCCCCACCTTTACATCAAGCTTCTCAGTGCTTGTATCCATTTGTCAAGTTCAAGTTAAGTGGGTAAGATTTAACAAGTCAGAGGAGTTTTATTTGTAATAACAGCTTACATGGATTCTTCATGCATACACAAAACCTCTTCACATCTAGGAACATCAGCTGGGAACAGCTTCCTCTCCAGTCAATGCAGAGAGTATATGCTGAGAGATGCCTGAAAACCACAACCCAGCAAGTACTTCAGAGTATTCACTAACTGCTGTAGCTGTATTGGATGAGAAGACTCTATGGACATAGAATCTAAACTGTCTTCCTAAAAACAAAAACACATTTCTAGAAGGAACTATTCTGTTTCTTTCAGAATTGTAGTTATTTGAAGTCCTTAGAACTTCCAAATACATGAAAAATATTCTCAAAAGTATAAACTAAACAAAACACCCAATAAGAAACATGTTTCAAATATCCTCTCCTCAGAACATAATTAACTATAAATGTGGATCCTAGACACCAATTCTCAAAGAGATACTATTTTTAGCACCAAGCACATCTTGCTACTTTGTTCAAAGACTAGCCAAAATATTTGACAACCCATAGCGGTCTTTAAAAATTTGCTGCATATGGAAGAAGCCATGCACACCAAGTCACCTGCAGGGAGGAAGAGCAAAAGAGAATTCTGATGATAATTAAAGCAGGACAACAGGAAGAAGGCCAGAAATACAGTATCCTACCATAGCAGCATACACACAAACCTAAGGTGACTGCTGAGACCATACGCACCTACTCCAAGCATTAACTCTCACTGTCATGACATCGGGTCTGTTGAACAGGTAATGACTCCCTAACATTAACTACAGGGAGCAGCAGGCCTGGTGGCCCAACAGACATCCTCAGGACCCTCCCAAGGTTCTCTCTATGCCGTCAGAACCACCAGGATACTTTGACCAAAGAGATGAAAACTTCTTAAGCAAACACAAGGCCCCTCATTCATAGATTATTAAAATTGTCTCAAGTATTCACCACTCCACATACATCAAAACAACCACTTCAGGTACCGACTAATAGCTTCCAGTGCCACAGTGCCACAATGGTGTGATGTCAAGCCTACTTCCACAGCCATGTTCACCTGCATCAAGTTACCAAACAGACTTCAAATCTCAAAGGTATTTCAGAGAATACTCACTACATTCCCAGCCTTTGCCACCATTAATCCAAGCCCATCACTCTCTGACAGGCTGCTAAAACTTCCCTAAGTCACACAGTCCTTAGAGTACCTGCCACTTGCAGTCCTACTGTACCACACCAACCAGAGAATGTACCTCTTTAGAAGCTGTCCAGATTTCGGTACCACTAGGCCTTGCCTTTCCATACTTCTACTCTATAGGGTAATTTATGAGTTTCTTGGACACACTCACTCTCCAGGCTATTCTATTGTCTATGTTATGCTGCCATCGTTGTACAACATTGTACATATAGGTTAAGTAACTCAGAAATGTTCAGGAGGTATGTTTGCTACAAGAGCTGTTCACCATTCTGCCTCCTCTTTCAAAAGTTCACAACATATAAACAGAAATGGCCATGGCCAGTCACACTCTCCCTAATAGGTGGAGAGGACAGATGAAACCTTGGGCAGCTCCTCTTAAACTGCATTAGGACTGTGCACCCCATGGGAAAAATGGCTCCAGTGCTAAAACTGGAAACTGCTTATAAATCAACCACTAAGTCAAGGATGGCTTAATCAAGAAAAGTCACAAGAACAAAGAAAACAATAAAATCACCCAACAAAAGTTGAGTGGCTTGCCTGGCTCTCTGACAACCAAGTCACTCACTTGCACAAAAGACAACACTAAAGAAATGCAACTGGTCTGCCTACAGGAAGAGGAGACTTAAGGGGAAGTGGGAGAGACAGATACAGGGTGTTATTCTAATCATCCCACAACAGGACAGGGTCATCACCAGGGACTCGCTTAGGAAGCAGCAAAGCTTATTCCTATAAACAAACTCCCACATAGTGGTTTAAAATTTCTCTGCACTTTTATTCATCAGGACTCTAGTCATATAAGCAAATGGATAAACAGTAAAGCTATAAAAAGGAAGTTTTATTGGTTTATTTTTATTTCTGTTTCTCAAATAATAGCAACAGGGAACTTTAAAGAGGATAACACAGTAAACAAGAACCTTAAAAGTTATCAGAAGCAAAGAAGGAAGGGATAGCCTAAAGCAATTTGAGAAAAGTGTGTCAAAATACTGGCAAAGGAGCCTGGCATTGGTGGTGCACGCCTTTAATCCCAGCACTCGGGAGGCAGAGGCAGGTGGATCTCTGTGAGTTCGAGGCCAGCCTGGTCTCCAGAGCAAGTGCCAGGATAGGCTTCAAAGCTACACAGAGAAACACACACACACACACATACACACACAAAATACTGGCAAATGAAGAGTGTTAGAAACACAAACAGTTCTTCTGGGTGGTGAGGGAGGGGCTCAGTAGGTAAGAGAGCTTGCTGCCTGTCTTGATGACCTGAGTTCAATCCCAGAGACCTACATGGTAGAAAAAGAAAACCAACTCCCAAGTTGTCTTCTGACATGCACACACATGACACATGTACACACAGACAGTAACTAAAATGAAATTAAGATGATATGACAGACTTTGATAGTCCCCCGTGGGAGGCACTATCCCTGGGGAGGAGGTGGGGGTGGGTTGGGGGGTCTTGGTGGAGAACATGGAGGATGGGAGGGCAAGGAAATGGGGGGAAGGAATATGTAAATATGAGTGCCTCTAAAATTAAAAAAAAAAAAAAAAAGGTAACAAAATCGATTCCTTCAATTCCATACCTTATCAATGGCTTTTCCAACTCGAGAAACACTGCTATGGATGTCTTTGTGATCAGAGGCCAACTTTTGAACAGTGTCCTTTATTCTTTTGCAGCACTGTGTCAAAACAAGCGAAAGTGTCCCTGATAATTCAGCATCTTGACCTATTAAAAAAAAGGAAGAAATATTGGTGACTCACTAAAGCAAACTCCACAAAGAAAGCTGGGAGAAAACAAAGAGAAATCAGTGTTTTTTGAAGCAGATGGTCACATTTCCCAGATGTTATTTTTCAATCGAACACTAAGAAGTAACTGAATTTGTTCACTCTTAGAAATAAAAAAATTAAAATTTCACTATGAAACAAACGTCCACCACACTCTCATCACCACAGACTGTGAACTATACTATCATGCAGTATCACTATTCATGTTTAAGTGAATGAGCAGACTTAGATACAGGATCAAAATCATAACAAATACTTACTACGCATCCACTACGGGCAGGTAAAATAGCAATCAAAAACCCTTCCCCTACAATTTACCTTCTGGAGCAAGACAAAAACACCACAATGAGGCAAATCAGACAATATGACAAAGATTGCTGCATGCAAAAGAGTCACATCATATACAGAAATTAATTCAAACAGAATAAAGCTCCAAAACTAAAAGTTGAAACTGTCAGAATTTTGTAAGAAAAAAAAAATGTGTTTTGGATCTTGGATTAGCCAATGGTTTCTTAAACATGACATCAAGAAGCATAAGCAACCAAAGGAAAATAAGTTCGATTTCATTAAAATTAAGTTTCTGAGCCAGTGTGCCTATAGTCATAGCACTTGGAAAGTAGAATTAAGAAGATCAATACTTCAAAGCTGGCCTTGGCCACAAGAAATTCTGTTTCAGGAAGTTGAAAAAAACAGAATGGGAGAAAATATTTGCAAATCACACTTTTAATATGTCAAGAATAAAACAAAGCTAAATTTGCAAGGAGACTCACTCACACACACACATACAATGTATTAAGACAGGATATAACTCAGTGGTGGGACATTTGTCTAGCTTGTGTAAGGTTATCCGTTCAATCCTCAATACAGCAAAGTAATAATAAAACAAAAATACACAGTTCCAAATCAACAAAACATGACAATTCAATTAAAAAGCGGGGCGGGGGACGGCGATAGGGAGATGACTTAGTGAGTAAAGTGCCTACTGCACACACATGAGGACCCCATCACATGTAACCACCACAGTGCTGGGGAGGCAGAGCCTGGATGGTTCCTGGTGGTGGCTGGCCTGACAGTAACTGAATCAGCTCCAGTGGAGTCAGAGACCTGAAGACAGTAACGTACTACATATAGATGCTTCAACAACAATGGGTCACCTATACGATGATGTGTAAGAGGCTATGCCATCTAGATGTATGTAAGTACATGACAATGTTCATACAACAATAAAACTCCTTAACAGCACATTTCTCAGAGAACGTTCCTACAGTTAAGCAATACCTGTCTATCTGGAAGCCCCAGAAAGTTATTATAGAATAAGCTGAAGGAAAGCCCTGACCAGAGAGGATCCACTAATGCATTTTTAAATGGATTCAGTGGAAAGCAGCCAAAAGTAAGCACAGCCTTGAAAATCACTAAAATGACCTGACTGACTGAGACAAGTGTTGTTTTCTATCTTTCCATGAAAACATGACCAACTTCTAGAACCTTCCTGTGCAAAAAAATTAATTAGAAATTAATTAATTGGAAATAGTAAAACAATTATCTTTACCATAACTCAAGTAGAGCCCAGGTTGACCACTTGTCACCCAGAATAAAGTCCTATGTCCACTGTATCTTAATGTGATAAATTCCTTGGACCCCATATGCATGCACAACTGAGGAAGCACTGCCAGCACTGACTGTGACAAGTACATTGTAAGGTCACATCTAACATGACGATTAAATAAATGAGCATGAGCATTACTTAGCATGTTAAAACCAAGAAACCATCACATACAATGGTTAAAAATCATTTCTGTAACTATAGGATGCAGCTCAGTGGTGGCACTTGCCATGCAGGATCCCCCAGTACAGCAAAAAAGCCCTAAAATTACTTCAATGTAACAGAACAGCACCTTTAAAAAATAACTATATTTGTATTATTATTTTTGCTATCATTGTCATTGTTGTCACAGTAGTTTTTAGAAAAAAATCACTCTGCAGCCCAGGCTGGTCTCATACTCAGGGACCCTCCTACTTCAATCTCCCAACTGAGCTACCACACCTGACTAGCACCTTTATTTCAAAAACAGATTTTTAAGTAGGTACTTAAATATACACTTATAGTATACAGAAATTTAAGGCAGTATCTCCTCTAAACCAGACATTCACCAAACTAAATTAGATATCATCAACTTGACATCTGTTTTTTTGTGACACCTAGCTAAGACTCCAGGTCTAACTGTGGGCTTCCACGCCTACCCATTTCAGGAGTTATGTCCACTAGTTCACAGAAACAGTATGTTAGAAAAACATCTATTTCCATAGCATCCCTTCCCAATCTGGGTTTTACAATTTTTAGCTTTGTGATATACCTCTTTAAGATATGTACTCCACTATGGTGATATTAGGATGTACTTTTCTGAAAAAAAAAAAAAAGTGTGTGTGTGTGTGTGTGTGTGTGTGTGTGTGTGTGCGTGCGCGCGCGCGCGCGCGCGCACCTGTGTTGAGGTCAGAGGATAACTTTAGAGAATCAGTTCTTTCCCACCTTTATGTGGGTTGCAGGGGTCAAAGTCATCAGGCTTGGCAGGCAGGGCAAGCTTCTCACCAGACCAGGATGCACTTTGATTTAACAAAAATTGAGATGGATGTCAAAAAAAGTACATCCTACTATCAGAACATAGTAAATATCTTAATGAAGTATATCACAAAGCTAAAAATTGTAAAACTTCTAGTTACAAGCTGGTTTTGATAAACTACCAATGCATTTTTAGCATTTCCTACCATTTATTTGGTCTGTATTTCTCCTTACTCATCACAAAGCTAAGAAATACATGTGCCCAACTACGGTAATATTCACTGTTTGACTTATCTAAATTCTATCAAGTCAAAGATAGTAAAATTGAAAACTAAATTCCTACCCAGTGCTCCAACTTTCAAATTTGTCTGGTACTTACTTTCATAGGGGGTGGAGGTAATGCTAAACAAACAATTGCACAAGCACATGCTGTTAACAAAATAGTGTTAAACCATGGCTGGAAGCCAGGCAGTGGCGGCACACGCCTTTAAACCCAGCACCTCTGAGGCAGAGACAGGCGGATCTTTGTAAATTCCAGTAGGCCACCCTGGTCTACAAAGCTACATAGAGAAACTCTGCCTGGGGTGGGGGGGGGATCCCAGCTGTCAGTGGGCAGCATCTGCATGCACAAGATTGAAAGGTCTGCCCCATCAGCTGACAAAGTTCTAATTAAGTTTATAAAAGGAAGCTTAAAGGTGCCAATATACCACGAAGCACGGGCTGCCCAGTAGTCACATAAAATGAGACCCTTTATAGTGAAGAACATTATAAAACCAGTGAGGCAAAAAACACAAAAAGGTGCTAATCCGCAAGATAATTATGATTCAGTTTTCAAAAAGTCTACAATCTACTGCCTAAGACAAAAATATTTTGGCATAAATGAACTGCTAGATTCCCTAGAAATCACAGACCCTAGTTATATATTTTTATGATATGCTTGAGGCAAAAAATAATTTATAAGTATTACACATACTGCATGTGAACTCTTCTGAGTTATTTGCACTTTCTCAAAATGGACAGAGTTCTTAATAGAATAGAAAACAATAGGATACAAGTTATGATGCAGAGAAACAGAACTCCTTTTAGGAAATATAATCCTAACTATACCTAAATGAAAATTCAGACCCTGTGAATTTGTATTCCAGAATTCAATAAAAATCATTTCCTAAAAATTAAAACAAAACACTCAAACAAACAACTCCACAGGGGCTGGGATGTAAGAGTACTTGCCTACCATACATAGAGTCTTAGGTTCAATCCCAAGCATGGAGATGGCATTCACTTGTAATGCTAGCACTACAATGGAGGTGGGGTAATGAAACACGGTGTTCCCTAAATTCAAGGTCAACTTGCTAGGCTATCTAGCAAGATCCAGCCAAACCTAGAATATGAATGAGACTGTCTCAAAAACAAAGTTTTAAAGCATAAATTCAAACAAGTCAAAAGAATACTAGGTATCCTTAAGAAGACAGAGGGAAATTTTTATGGTATTTTCTCTTAAGAGTCTTTTTTTTTTTCTTTTGAAACCTTTTAGTTTTGTTTATTTATTTATTTATTCTTTTTTTTTTTTTTTGAGACAGGGTCTTACAACATAGCTCTGGCTGTCACAGAACTTACTATGTAGACAAGGGTGGCCTCGAACTTACCCAAGTGCTGGGATTAAAAGTTGTGCCCCACAATACCCAGCTTAATATCTGAAAATAAAGTGAAATCAAAACAAACCTACAAAAATGTCAAAAGCAAGAGGAAAAATAATGACATTTCAATTCAATTAACATTGAGTGCCAAAGCTTTGGCCAGCAGTGTTCAAGGTGCATTCCCTCATGCTACTAGTTTCTAAAATAGGTTAAGAACTTTAGGATGTGAAAAGACAGAAGACAGACATTAGAACTTAGAGCTAACTCTTAAAAAGTCACCTGTCAAAGTGAACATGGCTCTCCTTGCAAAGTATTAAGACAGAAACTTGAAAAACTAAGCCTGATGATGTTAAAATTAACAATGGGATATCTATTTCACATGTTAGTAACCTAATGATGGTCCAGGAGAGCTGGGGCCTTGAAAGCAACCGCTTCCAGCTGGTTCAATAATAGGAAGGAAACAAACTTCTTCTTTTTTTTTTTTTTTTTTTCTACAGGCAGTACACTGAAAACAAACTCTGAGGGGTATTCTCAAGATCAGCTAATCTGTAAAGAACTCATTCTGGAATCAAGCCCTGACCTTTTAGAACAGGGCAGTGGATTCACAGAGGGGTGTTCTCATCCAAGGATGTATTAAGGACTACTACATCGGGTCACAATTCTAGAGCATCAAAAGCAAGCAGGAAAATTGAAATAACAAAGTTTGTATCTCAAAGCTCAACAACATGGTAGACTCAACAGTGTTCTTGGATTTGAGAACTGG